CATGTCCACAGTTCCCTGAAAGCTGCCACCCAGGTGGATAGAGTTGTTAAGAAGGAGTATGGTGTGTTAGCTTTCATTAATAGAGGGATTGAGTTCAAGAACCATGAGGTTATGCTCCAGCTGTACAAAACCCTGGTTCGGCCACATCTGGTGTATTGTGTCCAGTTCTGGTCGCCTCATTACAGGAAAGATGTGGAAGCATTGGAAAAGGTGCAGAGGAGATTTACCAGGATGTTGCCTGGAATGGAGGAAGGTCTTACGAGGAAAGGTTGAGAGAGCTAGGGCTTTTCTCTTTAGAACGACGAAGGATGAGAGGTGACTTGATAGAGGTGTACAAAATGATCAGAGGTATAAATAAAATGGACAGCCAGAGCCTTTTTCCTAGGGTGGAGGTAGCTATTATGAGGGGGCATAGTTTTTGCGTGAGTGGAGGTAGATACAGGGGAGACATCAGAGGTAGGTTCTTTTTTCACAGAGTGTTCGGGGCGTGGAATGCATTGCCGGAGAGGGTAGTGGAGTCGACCTCATTTGGGGCATTTAAGCGGTTATTAGATAGGCATATGGATGATAGTATAAGGTAGGCGTGGAGGTTAGATAGACCTTAAGATTAGTGTAAAAGTTCGGCGCAACATCGTGGGCCGAAGGGCCTGTACTGTGCTGTACTGTTCTATGTTCTATGCTTATTTATTTTTGAATATGCTTTTGTACCCTTCCCCGTTGATGCTTTCCAGGTAATAACGTTCTCTTAAACAAAATAAAATTTCCTAAAATCACACCATTGCTGTCTTTCCAAATTACTTCACTGGTTGTAAAGCCCATACCCACTGTTTGTTTGGGACATGAGGTACCAAATCATTCAGCAGCTTGGTTCACTAATGTCCTTTAGGGAAGGAAACCGCCATCCTTACCTGGTCTGGCCTGCATGTGACTCCAGACCCACAGCAATGTGGTTGACTCTCAATTGCCTTCTGGGCAATTGGGGATGGGCAATAAATGCTGCCTAGCCAACGACACCCATATCCCATGCATGAATAAAAAGAAGAATGTTATTGTTGCCACTGACCTGATACTGAAGCCCCACTATTCCTGGGTTGTCACAAAAGACAGTGGTTCAATCTGAGTCCGGTTAACAAAAATCACTGACCAAGTTTCTGTACTTAGCAAAATAAAACTATGTACCATTAACTAGTTGAAACTCGGTCCTGTTTTAAGCCCCCGAGACACAATGTACAGACAAACACAGAAAAATATTGCTATTACAGTTGGAGGAAAAGAACTCCTGGTAAACACAATTTAATAACACCAGTCCATAGGATTTGACATGTTCCTTTTGCCTCCCAAGACCTTGTGTACTCCGATCTCCTTTCTGGATTCTTTAACTTCTTAGAGGAGACACAAGACAATTGCTACACTAATTCGTAACATCTTTGAGTTACTGGTTAAAGACAGCAGCTTACAGCAATTGGCTTTCTGTAGTTAGGAACTTGGTAACAACGTATTAGTTAATGGCTTGGTTAATGGGGTTTGTTTTCAAATGTTCTTATTTAGTCACAAACTTGGCCAATAGGTCCTAATAAGTGTTGGTCTTATTCTGTAGCTTCTGTTTCCATTGGTAGGACATGTCTGTTGTCATGGCTACAGATAACCATGACCCTGAATTATTTATGGACATATTGAATTTTTAAGTATAACATGCTTTTCTTAAAATAAAAGACGTTCAAGCTGAGTATGTAAACTCAGCAGCTATTGAAAAATCCCTGCGTGGATTGCACCAAGGCCCAAGAGGAATCCGAGGATGTCACAGCTCAAGTGTATCAAGGGAACTTCAGACTATGACACTTCAAATGAAGCTATGCTATTTAAAAATCTCAACTGTGACCTCTTGTGGTGTTGGGTCCTGGACTGCATATGAAATGAATTGGGGGGATAAAGACAGTTCTGGGTGAAAGGCATGTTTGTGTTATATCCTTCCAAGTATACTCAAAATAGCTAGTTGAAAACCAATTGTCACCCTCTGTGTGTGCTAATGTCCTAGTTTCTGGTTCAAGTTGCACTTTGCTAAAGTGTGCTGTGAAAGGATATGTTGATGACTTCTTCTAGACACTGAATGCAGGTTTTTGAAAAAAAAACTCTTAATTGCTGAAAACCAGGCATCAACAGGCCATTTTCAAGGGCTGAAAGGGACAACTTCAAGTGAGGAAAGGGGTCACAATCTCCAAGCAACTACTCCACTATTATAATTGATGCTACTGTGAATCATCACCTCAATGTCCACAATGGTTCATAAAGTAGACATCAATGACAAAACAAAAAGTGATTTATGTTTTTCTTTTAAACTTTTACTTTTTGGACGCAACTCATTTCTAATCGATGTATATGTGGTGCATTTCATTATCTTATTCCTTCATTAACTCAAGAAAGCCTGGTTAAATTGACTCCTTTTGAAAACATTTGAGCTGGGAAAAGTTCTACCTTGGAAGAGTTTTTTTTAAATCAACGTTGTTATGATCAACTGAGGGGACAGCATTGAGTAAATAAGGGGAACCAGTTCAGCCCTTCTCTCTTGGGAGCATAAACATTTCAGGGTATCCCATGAATGAACTGGAATGAATTGGATACCTCACTTCGGGACCAGTTGTAATACTATTTAAATTTTCTGTTTGCAAGTGAAAGCAGGATTTACGAAAACACTTGCTGTTTTATATGGATGTGTTTTTAAAATACTTATGCACTAAAATAAATATAATGGTCATGTCAGTTAATCTTTTAAAAGTTGTATTGATTTCCAGATCTCTCAATTACCTTCACCTTATCCTGTATCAGGAATCAAAATAGCCATAACTTTAGACTTCTGGCTGTGGGGCTTAAAATATCGTAGTGAGTAACTCACCTCCTGATTTCCTGATGTCTGTCCATTATCAACAAGGCACCAGTTGGGAATGTGATGAGATATGTCCCACTTGGCTGGATGTATGCAGCTCCAACAATGCTCAGGAAGCTTGATACCATCCAGGCCAAAGCAATCTGTTTGGCACCACATTCACAAATGTCTACTCCCTCCAACATTGGCCCTCAGTAGCAGCAGCATGTACATCTTGCTGTTAGTACAAGATGCACTGCAGAAATTGACCAGATACCCTTCCAAACTCATGACCACTTCCATCTGGAAGTACAAGGGCTGCAGTTACTCGGGAGCACCATCACCTGCAAGTTTTCCTCCAAGCTACTTGCGATCCTGACTTGGAAATAATATCACGTTCCTTTAGTGTCGCTGGGTCAGAATTCTGGAAGTCCCTCCTTTTTAGTGGCATTTTGGGTCAGCCTACAGTACAGGGGACTGTAATGGTTCAAGAAGACAGCTCATCACTGCCTTCTCAAGGGCAAGTAGAAATGGACACCGAATGCTAGCCAATCAACGACACCCACATTCCATGATTGAATTTTTAAAAAGGTATGAAATGTTCAAAGTGAACGAGAATTGTGGTACATGATGAAGGCTTTGAATTATCTGATCATCAAGACCATTGACTTGCATTTCTTCTAACAAACTCCTATTACAAATGCCATGTCAAATGAGTGTGCATATGTGTAGATAATTTATAATGAGCCTGTTCAGAGATATTTGGAGCAGGTGAGTCTTGAACCCAGGCTTTCCAGCTTAGAGGTAAGGACACTACCACTGTCACACAAGAGCCCCTTGCGTATGTGTGTATCCTGTAGTTGTGACTAAGAGCAGCTGATACTGATTGGGAGAATTCAAAACACACTAGAAAAGGACCTTTGTGCCACTTCTGGTGGTGTTCCGAGCTCTGGGCTTCCTGGGTTCAAGTCCCACCCTGCTCCATCGATGAGTAATAACATCTCTGAAAAGTTTGATTAGAAAATATGAGAACAACAAACAAGAAAAAGCTCTTGTATCACTTTTTTGGTAGTGTCCCTACCTGTATGCCAGGAGGCCCAGATTCAAGTGCCACCTGTTCCAGAGATGTGTCATAACATATGAACAAGAGATTTTTGAAAATGACAGGCTTGTCAGGGTGATTAGCTTAGGAGTAGAATACTTGACTACAGACCAAGAGATCCATGGTTCACATCCAGATGCCCCTTGGAAGTTGCATCTCAGACAGGATGTGTAGAACTGGAATCTACTGTTTAAATCAGACGGGGGCATATCAGATAAGTGGCCTCCTTGGTTTTGAGGCTTTTGGGTTGGGTGTGATTGTTGCACAGTGGTAGTGTCGCTGGCCTCATTATCCTAATGCCCAGTTTAATATTTTGTCTTTTGTGTCACAGTGGTAGTGTCCATGCCTCTGGGCCAGAAGATCCAGATTAAAGTCCTGCCAGCTTAATTAACAGGTTGATTAAGAAATATCTATTATTGCACCCTTTTAAATCGGCCTTAATATACAGTGGTGGTATCTCTACCTTTTGAGCCAAAAGATCTGCTGTTCAAATCCCATCTATTCAAGACGTATGTCAGAGCATATCTGAACAGGTTGATTAAAATTATTAAGAGAAGACCTCTATGGCACTGCCTCGGTTCATCCCACCTGCTCCAGAGGTGTATAATGGTGTCTCCAAACAAGTCGAATAGAAAATACTTGCATGCGCACATCACCCCAGGCGAAAAGAGCGTTTGTGGCACAGTGGTAATGTACCTACCTCTGAGCCAGGAGATCTGGCATAGAGTCCCACCACCTCCACAGGTCTGTAAATATCATCCCTTAATAAGTGGATTAGAAAATATCTAAATGCTGTAAATGTAGAGGAAGAAATATACACAACAATTTTCCTCCTATAATGGGGAGGTGTTCTGTAGAAAGGAACAATAGTCTACACTTATGATGAGTATTCTGAATAAACCTATGGGAGACCATATCAACTGCTGCATGTTAACGTAGCAACTAATTTTTTTTTTCCCTGATCTTCGACATTTAGTATCTTTTTAATTGTAACAAAAAATTGCTTACAAGATAATTAAAGATGTTTAATTTTTACAGATGGGCCTTGGGAAAACTATTCAAGCAATCGCATTGGCATACCTCTATAAACAGGAATGGCCCATGTTAATCGTGGTCCCATCATCTGTCAAGTACCCTTGGATTGAAGAAATAGAAAAATGGATTACCGAACTGAATCCGGATGACCTCAATCTAATCGAGTCTAAAAATGACATTGGGTGAGCTTGTGAAAAGTGTCCATTTTTCTGCATAAGTAAGATCCAATCATATCTCAGTGAGTGAAAGCCAATTGAAATATCAGTGATATGAATCCCTACCTGTCTTTTCATTACAAGATTACATCAGAGCTACCAGCTTGTTCTAGTTAATTGGTAAAAACTGCTTCCTGGTTTGGAAATATCGCACAGTTTCAGCTTTTGAATGGAACAATGATACATTTGGCAATTTGGCTTTTTTTTTGTATGTATGGATGGATGGAAAGACAGAGTCTTGTTGAAGAAAAATTCTCAAATTATCAGAGTGAGCACTTTTGAAAGAAGATCTCTTGATGCCACACACGATGACAGACAAGAGTAATTGTGTATCGCTGAGCAAGTCCTTGCGGGGTTTGGGGAAACTTCATGAAGGAAATGAATGGAATAAAAATAAAATGCTGGAAAAACTCAACAGGTCATGCAGCACCTGTGGAGAAGAGCAGAGTTAACAGTTAAGATCAATCTGACTTCTTCAGGACTGTTCTGAAGAACATTCAGTTCTGAAGAAAATTCACGTTGGACTTAAAGCATTAACTCTTTTTCCACAGACGCTGTCAGACCATGTTGAGTTTTTTCTGTACCGTCTGTCTTTATTTCAGAAAGCTTTCCAGCAACTAGTGTATTTAGACCATGACAGAGGAGCTGGTGAATTTTGGAATCCCTTTACATATTCATCCCCCATTAGGATTGTCTGAAGGCTCCTCACGTCTTCCTTGAAAAAGGCCTGACCAGTCCCCATTCATTACCATTCTCAATGTTGTGCATTTGAGCTTTATTTTGTGCCTTTTTGATTGGGGAAACAGCAATAGATTGGGAAACAAAGCTTTCGGAGTTCAGCTTGGTATTTTTTGCATAAATCTTGACTGAAGCTGAGTTAGTAGAACAGTTGCCCCTGATGAAAGATCATGGTTTGGAACTGTTAAAAAGTGGATTGGATCTGTGTAAGCAGTTTAGTTTGAACATTCCAGACCAGGAGTATTTGGTTACAATCTTGAAGGAGTTTTTTCGAAGTGAGAAACTTCAAGCTCAGTTGTTCAAAAAATCCATGAAGGGATGATCAGCTTTTCAATTTTCAAATTTCAATGATTTGGTTTATTCTATTTTATCTTCTTTTCTTTTGAATAATAAACTTCTATGTTATGAATATGTAACAGGTTAAATTAATTATTGTGGCGGTCATTAACTTGTAAATGAATTGCAAAAGTCAGCAAGAGATGTTGGAACCTTATTATGCTAATCTTGGGCACACCATGCATGAGCATTTGTCATAGCTTATAAAAGCTGATGGCTTCTAAATAGTATTGAGAAATCTACCACGTTGGACTCTCTGAGAAGAGGAAAAGATACTGAAAAGATATATATTTGGCTATCATTTATCTAACTGGTCTCTTACCCTGTCAACTTGTGAATCCTGATCAAATTGTCAAACTGAACTTAAAGCTTTCGTGTTGCAACTGAAGTAATCTAGTTTCAGGCAGGACATAAATAAGTTATTTTCTCCTGTGTCTTTGTGTTCAGAATATTTCACGCTGATATTACTTCTTTCCTTCTATTCTGCTTCGCTTTGATCAATAATTCGCCTTAATTTAAAGATTAACCTCTTTTTGCAGCTTATATAAACTTTCCTAAGGGAAGACAATTCCATTATGTTCGATAAATGACACCAGTACGCTATACTTTTTCAGCTCAAAACTGTAGGGGCTCTCAGTCTTTTGGCTCTTATTCTCAACTGACACAGTTTATGCAGACGAGACTTAAATGCATCTAAATTTAGCAATGTTCTTGCTGTCAAATTAATCAATTCTTGGTACTTTTAGTTTGAAATAAAAGTACAACCTCTTTATTTGTTTCTTTTTACTTGCTTCAATTGGTCTTCAAAACAGAGTTGGGGCATGGGCAATAACCCGAATCCCGTTAGCAAATAATTAAAAATTTCTTTCTTTTATTGATTCTCCTCTGCCTTCTGTAGCAGAAACTGAATTATACTAGTTGCAATCTCCAGCATTCTGTTTGACCCCAAAGTGAGCTTCCATTTAGTTAACTGTACCTCCAAACCCACATTGTAACGTCACCAGACTCAACCCCGACCTCAAATTTACCCAAAAGACTGCCATTTTTGTGCTTGTCTTTCTCTGAAGAAAGCTGGATTATTTGCCCTCAACAGTTACTATAAACTGTTGCTTTTCACTATTAAAACATAGCCTTTATAAGTGCGAACCAATCTCTCTGTGCTTCCTGCCAGCAAGTGAAAGTATTTGGAGAAAAGAAATCATGGAGCTGCAAATCCTGGCAAGCCAGAAGGTGAACTTTGTGAGCAGGGATCATTGAACTGCCTTTCCAGTTTTTTCCTCCATCCACAACAGCGTTGTTTTTGATGTCTCTCTACATCTGCGTATAGGGGGAATCAGAATTTTAACTGGTAAAGTTATATATCAACAGTTCATAGTTGTTTCCCGGTAGCCAGAATCTGTTTATTTGGCCCTCGTAGACTTGCTAATCACTGTATTCAGCTTGAGTATCAGCCTTCAGATAGAATTTTATCCAAGGTGTCTGGTGGACTTAATATATACACTGAATGACCATTCTACTGACCATTCAAGATGTTGCATCATCGAAAATGCTTAATGTGTTGGTCAAAAGCTATTTGTCCCTTCTGAAATGGTGTTATCAGCATTGTTTGTTGCTTGATTCAAGAAAGATGTCTCCTTGGGGTTGCATGTTTCAAGTATGATTTTTCGTGTGACCAAAAATCAATTGTTGACCCTCAGATCTCTGGGCACATATACATCCATGCGACAGTGTGATCTGAAGTGCTGGATTTGTTTCCTTTTATTTTCATTTCTGTTGCAGCTCTGCCTTATGATTAGCATATAGTGACACAAAGCAGGAGTACCTTTAATGGACAGTTTGTCATAATTTTCAATGATTGGTAGCAAGCTGCTCCTGTCAGTGCTGTTGTTTCAAAGCAGCTTCAGTGTATTTGAATCTTTTTTTTGTCCTCGCTGAAATGCTGTAACTTACAATTTTCCTTTGAATCTGAATCTTAAGATGTAGGGAAGCATTGCTAATGGAATTTCTATAGAGTTATGCGTGCTTATGCTTAGTCCAGGTTTCATTGAGTATAGGGGTGTGGTGATGAGGACCCTGCGCTAAGACTCTAGTTGACTTGCCTTTTTGTTGTCATGGTCTCATTCACATGCTCATTGTTGTAGCTTGTTGAAGGCCAAGTTGATGCAGCTGTTCTGGTGTTGGATCTCCCCATCTGTCATGACCTTTTAAGAGAGATGGCTATCAGGATATGAGAAATTTAAAGTTTTGGCAAAGTTCTGTAGCTCAGGTTGTGGGTGAGGTTGTTGACTCGCTTGCCGAGCTGGCTTGTTCTTGTCAGACATTTCGTCACCGTGATAGGTAACAAAACGTCTCAACGAGAACAAGCCAGCTCGGCCAGCAAGTCAACAACCTCCGATATGAGAAATGATTGTCATCTTCGCCATGTATGAGAGGTGGAATATTAAGTTGACATGAGTTGTGTTTTGGAACATTCAGGGACAGGCTGAGTTTGTATGTGCAGAATTGAAACAATGTCACTATGTGTGTCTGTGGTGGTCGGTTTAATTTTGGCACTGAGACAACTAAGGCTTAAGAGTTACCTATCTAGGCATTATTTGTAACACTACTTGCACTGTGTAGTATGCGATATTATACCTAAATAATACAGTACAAAATCATTGAGTGGTTGATGTTGGAGGAGGTGAATAGCAGCAAAGACCATGTCAGGAATTCCACTGAAAGGTTTAAAATCACCCTTTGGGCAAATTTTCTCCGCCACAGCAGTAGGCAATTCGAGAGAATGGTGTAATGGACCGGAGAAAGATTCCTTGATTGTTCCCATAGAATGACTTATCTCCCTTGAAGATAGTTATGATTTATAATATTTCTAAAGTTGGTGTCTTTGTGTGTGAGAGTTGAGGTTTGTGGGAAGGGCAATATTTCTTCTCTGCCCCCCATCCCCACCCCCCCAAAAAAAAAGTTGTTGGATCAGTAAATGAACTCATGTAATTTGTATGGAAAAAGACATGAAAAATAGTATTTGAATATAGGAATATTGGTTAAAGTATTTGCTACTGTTAGTCAGCCAAAAATCAGCTATTTTGGTAATACATGATCACTTTTTCTTATGGACGATAATTTCCAATTGCATATCAATATCCAAATATATCAAGGGGCTGTTGTGGCTCACTGGTAGTGCTCCTACCTTTGAACCAGGGAGCCCAGGTTCAAGTTCCACCTGCTGCAGTGGTGTGTAATACCATCTCTGAACAGATTGCTTGGAAAGTACCTGCAACTCTTTTTCTATGTTAAAATGTTCAGTTTTGGTGCTGTTATTTTGAATTTTAAGATTGAATAACCTTCACTCAAAATGTGAGATCCTTGTTTTAGAATTCCTTTCAAACCCAGATAAATTCCCTTTGGTTGAAACAGTTGGCAATTAGTGTCCTCAACAGACTATGTAAAGGTAGTTGCCATACTCCCAGGGGACCATCAGGCTGCTCCCTCATAAGAGAAAGTCAACTGGTGGTGTTTTTAACCTGAGGGTCACCACACCTCGGGTGAGGGGAGAAGTTGAGAAAGAGAGTCTTTCGTGGTAACTTCAGCTGGTGTGGGAAAGGAATAAGGAAAATTGTAAATTACAGCGTGAAATATTTGTAACTGCCTTGGGTACCCAATGTGATACTCTTTTAACTAGATTTTGTGAATTGACCTGTCATGTGAAAATAGATCAATCTCAATGCATATCATTATGCCGAAGGATGAATTTCCTTCATGAATATCAGAACAGGCTTAAGATGCTGAATGGCACACTCTTGTTCCTATGATTTTTTTTCAATTATATGGTGTTGAAAGGACCTCCCTTGAGTTGTGGATGAGTTCCAGGACCTCATTCCATTCTAGTGTATTGTCTCAGCTCTTGTATCAAATTGTTGTAGCTCTTGATACATTTTATGAAATCGTTATTTCTGATGTATGTCCTAAAACACATCAATATTAATCAACATTATTACATGATATAAATGCAAAATACCTAGAAGTGCTGTAGTTTTCATTTCTTAACCTAATGAGAGAATAAAATACTACATAAGAAACAATATGGATTATAGGCTTGATCAGCACCCTAATAAGTGAACAGTACCTAAAATGGATGGAAAAGGTCACCAAGCTGTATATTAGTGGCTTCTTTACTTATCATGTAGCTTTGACAAACATGATTATCTCCAATTTCGATATGTAATTTGTATATCGCCTGCAAATTATAAATAAGTTCAAGGAAAATATTGTCATTAAAATATTTCCATAACATGCAGAGTCAATTTGTTTGTACTTTGCAGGAGAATTCCAACCAGCAAAATTACCATAGTGGGTTATGGCCTTTTAACAACTGATGCACAGACTTTAATAGATGCTCTACATGACCAAAATTTCCAAGTTGTTATAGTTGATGAATCCCATTACATAAAGTCACGTAATGCAGCACGAAGCACAATTTTGGTACCTATTGTACAAAAAGCTGCTAGGGCAGTCCTGTTGACTGGAACTCCTGCACTTAGTCGCCCAGAAGAGGTGAGTCTGTTAACATTATCTTATAACCTTCTTAAATATACATAAGTTAGTTGAGTTTTGTTAATTTTTGCAACATTTTCTGTTTCTTACTTTCAAGTAATGGATCAAAGCTTGGTTAATACGGAACTTAATTGTCATCAATAATTTTTAAATTATTGTGTGGCAGATCAGTTTGGCCATGTGGTGTATATACATTCTGTATTTTTTTTTTAGGAAGTCATGTCCATGCCGTGTGTCTGAAATGAACAGTAATGCAGGAAGTGTCACCAGCTGCTTGTACTCTGGTTTTCAGAACTTGAGTGATGGCTTAGATGAGTTGCTGTACTAGCATCCACAAAGCAGAGAATTATGTGGATAACGCATTTAGGCAAGTGGTCACTCCACGGGTTAGGAGCATACAGGCAGAAATTGAATGTCTGACCACCAAACATTCTGAGATAACCAGGCAACGATGGCACCATTCCTTTGATTTTTGGAATTCTCTACCTCTGGATGGCTGTGCATGTTCAGTCATTCATTATGTTCAAAACATTGATTAATAGCTATCTGGAAACTAATGACATCGAAGAGTAAGAGCTTATCATGCAAAAGTAATTTTGAGGTAAATGGCCAACAATCGTATAATTAACGGGCAAAACAGGCATAACAGGCTGAATGACCTACCCCTATCTTCCCAATTAGAGTCGACTTGCTTTTTCTTGAGTTTAAATGCTGTGTGGTTGTAAAGAGGGCATAAGGTAAATTAGGGTAAAAAAGGTAAATAAAGGGTACTGACAGTTTAAAGAACTGGGCAATTTTTAAAAAAAAGGGCGGATGAAGTATATTGTAGGATAATGAATCTTGTCCATTTTGCAGGAGGAATAGAAAAGCACTATTATTTAAATGTAAAGAGGTGACAAAATTCTGTAGTGTAGAGGGATCTGGGTATCTTGGTACAAGAATCATAAATGATGGAATGCAGGTACAGCTATTAATTAGGAAGGCAGATTGAATGTTAGTGTTTACTGCAGAGGGAATTGAGTATAAAAATTGTTTAAAAGAACTTCTAACTTCTGTTAAAGTTGGGAAGTTTTGTTACTGTTATGCACCACATTAATGAGACCACATTTGGAGTACTGTGTACCATCTAAAAAGGATGAAATTGCATTCAAAAATATTTAGAGAAGTTTAACTTAACTTCTTCATTTGAGAAGTTAGTCGTCTTGTAAGGAAAGATTAGACAGATTGGACCTAATCATTTAAGATAAGAAAACTTGAGAGTTTATCTTTTAATGAAGAACATCGACCCTGAGGGTACTTGACAGGGTTGATGCCAAGCGGATGTTTCCTTTGTGAGGGAGAGTAGAAATTTTGGGACACAGTTGAAAAGTAAGAGGGGCCTACCATTTAAGCAGAGATGAGTTTTTATTTTCTTTGAGAGTCATTAACCTGTGGAATTCTGTTACCCCAAAAGCAACAGAAGGAGGGTCATTCAATATTCTTAAAGCTGAGTTTGGTAAATTCCTCATTAACAAGGCAGTGAAAAGTTTTAGCAGCTAAATAGAAAAGTGGAGTTGAAGCTGCAATCAGCTCAGCCATGAACTATTCCACATGGCAGAACTTAATTGGTAGGAAGGTCTGGGGAAGAAAAAAAAGTTGC